GGTAAGGTCCCAACTAAAATATTGCGCTATTGTCTGGTCACCTTTTACAACTAGAAACATTAAAAAATTGGAAAGGATTCAGCGAAGAGCTTCCAAGGTTATCCTAAAACTGATGAGGACTATCAAATTCGCAAAGAAAAACCAAACCTGTTATCGTTGGAGGACAGGCCTTTCTTGTTTGATGTATTGTTTTTTCAAGTAAAGCCCTTAATGGGTATATTAAGATAGACATATCCTCTTTTATTGAATTTTATTCGCATTCAGAAGATACCCCTTGAGGGGAGGGGATGATCTGACTTTGAAGAAACATTATGCTTGGACTGATATTTCTAAGTATAGCTATTTTAGTAGGATATATGCCATGTGGAACATACTGCCACTGTCAACTCGTAATGCTTCTCGCATCACTGGTTTCAGATAGAGAGTAAGGGATTATTTAACTTCGAGAAATATTTAATCCAATTCAGTTGTTTTGATTTTCTTTTTTGATTTGTTTTTTTCTTTTTATTAGGTGGTCTGCCTAGTATGGGGACTTAGTCTCTTTTGCTGACCATCCTGATACATACATACATACCTACATCTTTATTTAACGAGGGTAACATATTAACTTACTTAAGTTTTCTAACATATGGCCCTCACATATATACACAGTATATTTTACAATTATAATTAATTTTAACTTACAGATTTTAATATAATTCACACACTCAAAAAATATAATATGACATTCATAAAAAAACACGAATCAGTTTGAATGACAATTACAAACTAGTAAAAAACGGCAATCAACAAAAAAGCTCCTTTAAATGCAATATGCGTGGAAGCTTGTTCGTGAAAAATAGGCGGAGTTTGCGCTTGATAGTAGTAAGAACGGTGTTGAGCGAGATAGGTAGTACAGAGCAAGAAGCAAGTTGGTTCAGTTGAGATGCGTCTCAAGTCCATTGAAAAGAGTAGCGACTGAGTAGGCGAAGGTGCGCTTACCAGAGTTGGTGCGAGGTTTAGTGAGAGATAGATTGCAAGATACTGCGCCTCTTGTTGAGTACCGGGTTTGCACTGAAGATAAAAAGCTAAAGCTGCGCCGTAAACTAGATGGAGAGTCAGGATTCAGAAGAATGGAAAAAAGAAGGTGTAGCTTTCTGCATTTGACGAAATCGTTGATCGGAATCCAGTTAAGTCTAGAAAAAAGCGAGACTGATGGAACAGAAAAGTCGGCATTCAGAAGGATGCGAGCAGCTCGCTTCTGGCAACGTAGAAGGCGGAGAAGAGAATCCTTGGAGCACGACCCCAAGACTGTAGAGCAGTATGCAAGTTGACTATGGATGCAAGAGGTGTAAAAAAGAAGAGAACTGTGAAAATCCAAGAATGGAGAAATTCTCCTGAGAAGGGAAAGTCGACTATTTCGTGTTTTGCTGAGGCGATCTACGTGCTGGTCCCAGGTGAGGTGATCACCCAATAATACGCCAAGTATTTTAGCTGAGTTAACTTGCTCAACGACGTTACCATTCACAGAGACGTTCAGATCAGGGCTTTGGAGATGTCGTAACCTTTGCCTTGTGGTCACTAGCATAGATTTCGTTTTGGCCGCATTGAGCGCTATCCGGTTTAAATTGGCCCAACGACACATATCTGCAGAGAGTTGATTGAATCTAGCCTCGACTTCTTGTACGGTAGGTCTAGATGTTAGAAGCGTTGTGTCATCAGCAAACATCGTTAGATGTGCGTCAGGCGAACGAGTCAGGTAAGGCGGCAGGTCATTAATAAAAATAAGAAAAAACAGATGGCCCAGGATGCTGCCCTGGGTGACCCCAAGGGAAACCGGGCGGGGGTCAGATAAGGCCCCTTTGAAGACTGTTTTCTGGGTGCGGCCCGTTAAGTAGGATCGGAACCACTTTAACGTTGACGAGCAGCAACCGTACATACCAAGCTTGAACAAGAGAGTGTCGTGGTCGACCAGGTCAAATGCCTTCTTGAGGTCAACTAGTAAGAGCCCACTCAATAAGCCGCGGTCAATATTGGCGAGTAGTAGGTCAGACAGGTGCAAGGTGGCAAGTTTGCAGGATCGAAACCAGCGGAAACCAAACTGGAGGTCAGTAAATAATTCATGCTCAACAAGAAATGTGCAAAAATGAGAGTGAGCATGGCGCTTTAGAATTTTAGAAATAATAGCTAGAACAGATATAGGGCGGAAGTTGGAGCGGTGTAGCATGGGTCTTTGAACAAACTGAGAGACCTTTGCTACTTTCTAGGCATCGCGAAATAATCCAGTAGAAAGGCTGAGATTGAATATAGATGCAAGTGAGCTAGCAATAGCTGGAGCGGCTGTTTTGAGGAAAAACCCTGTGACCTGGTCGAAGCCTGCGGCCTTGCTGGTTAGAAGACGAGAGAAGCTAGACTCAACAAACTCCTCTGTGAAAAGTGGGATGCTAAATTGCAAGCCGGGTGAAAGCTTCGACTCGACAAATTCCGTTAAGAAGCTCCAATCTGGACGCTCAGCTACATTGTCAAGGTTTACTGTAGAGATAATATTTTCAAAATGATCATTAAATAAATTGGAAATATGAACATCATCGCTATATATTTTCCCACCTACCTCTAGATGGCTAGGCAAGCTAGAACATTTTGTAGGCGCTACATTTACGAATAATTTTCCACAAGTGTTTCGGGTTGTCAAGATTCATCTGGATTGCATCTCTATAGAAAGCGCACTTAGCTTTTTTAATAAGATGGTTTACAGCGTTTCTTGATCGGCGGTACGCAGTCCAGCTAGCGAGGCTATTGTCAGAGATTGCTTTACGATGAAGGCGATTACGCGTTTTAATTGCGTCCTTTATCTCAGACGTGAACCAGTCTGGCTTTTGAGTTCGTCTCGCACGGTGAGCTTTGATCGGAGCGTGCGTGTCAAGCACACCGTTGAACAGATAATACCAATACGTATGATGCACGATCCTCGCAGTCGATAGCGCTATTTATGCAATAGCGAAAATCAGACCTGAAAAAAACTAGGCCTGTACGGGACTCGAACCACTGACCTCTGCGATACTAGTGCAGCGCTCTACCAATTGAGCTAACAAGCCAACTGGGAGTATGCCGTTAAGTTGGTTCGTAATAAACCCGTGAAAGTGATAAATGAGATAGAATAAATATATGAAGTTCATATATTTTGAACTGCGGTATTAGATACGTATGATGCACGATCCTCGCAGTAGATAGCGCTATTTATGCAATAGCGAAAATCAGACCTGAAAAAAACTAGGCCTGTACGGGACTCGAACCACTGACCTCTGCGATACTAGTGCAGCGCTCTACCAATTGAGCTATCAAGCCGTATCTAATACCACAGTTCAAAATATATGAACTTCATATATTTATTCTATCTCATTTATCACTTTCACGGGTTTATTACGAACCAACTTAACGGCCTGCTCCCAGTTGGGTTGTTAGCTCAATTGGTAGAGCGCTGCACTAGTATCGCAGAGGTCAGTGGTTCGAGTCCCGTACAGGCCTGATTTTTTTCAGGTCTGATTTTCGCTATTGCATAAATAGCGCTATCTACTGCGAGGATCGTGCATCATACGTATCTAATACCACAGTTCAAAATATATGAACTTCATATATTTATTCTATCTCAGATAATACCATTGATCTAAGGCGTCATTGGGGTCATTAAAGATCCCAAGGTTACTCCATGGAATACAAGAAACACAATAAAGGTCAGCAATGAAAGCGTCAGCAGAAAAGTGTTTTAAAGAAGGAAAATGCAAATTCGTAAGGCCAGATTTACCCTGTTTCAAAAAAGACTTAGAAAAAAATTCAAATTTTGAAAACAAAGACTACTAATCTCTGCGGAGTTCTATTGTTATCGCTATTGTTTTAATTGAACAAAGACTGCATAAACAAAGACTGTATGGGGTTTTTGGTACTCTTGCCTAAACATGGACTAGAGTGCGGGAAATGCAACTCAAGCCAGAAGCATTCAACTCCCTCCCTCTCCAAATCGGTGCGTCGCTTTACTGGTAAATGAGATGGTATATACACCAGTAAGCCCTCTCCTGAACCGACAGGACGATCCGCGCGCAGCAGACTGTAATGATCCACTGATAGGGCAGCGTTCGACCAAGACTCGGCCAAAAACGTCTCACTGATTCCCAAGACAAGGTTAGGCCGGATATGTCTCCAATTGGGCACAGAAGATAAGATAAGCTTGATTTCATCGAGCTTGTTGATAATATGGCAGACATTGTACTGGCTGAACACAAGTCCCTTGGATGGTAAATCGGCAAGACAAGATGGCGTCGAGCCTGCCGTGTTTGTACCCAAACACATTCTGTTAGGTCTCTCATCACTGCTGGCACTTGTAGAAGGACCAGGATTCGCGAAAATGTCCATACAAATAGTGATGTCTATAGATGGATCACGATCGGGTGCTGCTAAAAAGATGTAGCCATGCTTAGCCCAAGTAAATTGAGCCCGGCGAATTCCAGCGATTGCCAAACGCCTCCAAACTACAAGTTGCTGCCGATCGAAGTACAATGCAAGTGATCCATTTAATATAACAGGAACACTTGACCCCTCAAGTGGGTCCATTGAGTTAAAAGCATTTGATTTTGGACAATGAAGTGAGTATAATCGTAGAAATAAGCCAATGAAGAGGCAAATCAACGGAACTCTAAAATTTACACCCGCCATATTTTATGCTAATCGTGCCATCTTATGGCCTCTTTATTCCTTGCACATATTTCTTACCAATCTTCTTCTCTTTAGACCATGTTATCAGTATCGCCATTAAATTGTAATAAAGAATAAAGATAGGAACTCTTCAAGAATTCTGTTTGAGCAAAAGAGATCCGCGCCCTGCTTCTTTCCCCCGAGTATATGGGTAGCGATGAGAAACTTGGTATCCCTCTGGATTCAACAGTAGATTTAATAAGCCAGGCTAAGAAAAAATATATTGGGGGAGGGGTGACTGGAATATGATTTTTGTACGTCAAATATGGCGGAGGACTTCAATTTCGCACTAGAAACAAAGTATTTTGAGGGTTTGTCGAAAGAAAACTATTGCAACCAGTGTTTCAATTTAAAAAATTAGGCTATTTTATCGCGGTAACTGATATTTAGCTTTGAAAGTGTAAAATTTATCTTAAGAAGTGACGTTTACCTTGTTGCTTTCCAAGAAGCGACGGACGTCGTTTGATTGATCTTTGTGGAATTACGTCATGGCTATTCCCCCTGAAGAAGCGCAACGTAAGCATTTTAGTTGTAGTTTATTTATGCCTTAGACCTATAGAGTGAAAGGAGGTTGACTTAAAAACATTTTATTGCGAATGTTCGATTGTAGTGCTATCTAATACGTTACGAGTAATTCAGCATGTCTTCCCAAGGACAAGGGAAAAATAAACGTAAAGGGAGAGGACGTGGAAATGCAGGACGAGGACGAGGAAGAGGTCACGATTTACCACCTACTCCTGGCACAACTGACCGTGTTGGGAAGCCTCTCGAGAAGAGTGGGATTACGATCGAGGAGAAGCCAGATTATTTAAATCCTAAGGATTCAAGTACAGCTGATTTTGATGAGAAACTAGCTGCTGGTGCGTGCGGTAATGATCTGTTAAATGATCAAAAAGACACAGTAAGACCGAAAAAAAGTTCTACAACTGCTAGCAGAGCAACGACAACTGTTGAAGAACACAACCAAACGGGAAGATCTTCGGTCGAAACACCATCAAAGTCTAGAAAGATTAAAGGAAGACAACGCGATATACCTGCAAGTTCTTCTGACGATAAAGGCGGAGGTAACTAATCGTCAAACTAATGAAAGTTTGCTAATTTTCTGAGTAGGAGTGTTGTGTACATTTAATAAAGACGTACATCGACAATGACAAGGCTTTCTTGTCTGTGGTATGCTTTTTTGCCAAGAATTTAAGGCTTCTAGTCATGTTCTATACCACAGTTTGATTTCCATAAAACTCATCCTATTAATTCATAATCGTATTAGGAAATGTCACAATTCCTGGAGAGAAAAAATAATGGAATAGCTAACTTTGATTGAGATCAAATCTACAATGATTAACAGCAGATTCTCTCAGGCGATGTAATGAAATGAATTGGAGCTAGAAAGAGAAAAGTGCAGGAAAGAGAAATATTTTTTGTGAATGATGTGAAGTGAACTTTTAGAAATCCTGTGTTAAGACTTTTTACACTCAGTCAGATGATGTGAACTTAATTTCATTTTAAGATACTTAGTTAATCTCCCAGTTAATGGAATTTATTTTCTATGTAATCAACAGCTTCCACTTTGCTTTCAGGTGCTCCTGCAGCTGATGCCTCCTCAATAAAATCTGTTGGTGCCACCACCCCATCTTCAGCTGCTGCTACAAGCAGAACTGTGGCAGTGAACAAGGAAGTTGAAAATGGGACAAAAAAGCTAGGTTCTTCTTTGGGAAGTGGAGGTACTTTAAGAAACCTTTAACTCTATGCTCATCTATACCACCATAATGTTGAATGCAACACTTTTTCACTGAAAACATGTTTCTTGCCGAAAAAAAAAGACCTTAATTACCATTCATTAGGAATTTTTTTCTTAATCCCTTACGCCCAAACATCAGCATGCGTATTCTCCATACTGTTCTTAATACATTTCCTAAGATGCTGACAAGGAGAATTTGCTTAAAAATAATTGAAAGGCTTCTTTAGTTGGTGATCATTTTATTTATTCTCATGTCTCAAATGTGTGATTCAGGGGTGATTTTGTAAGGAGAAACAAGATGCCACTTTCTCTAAGGAGTCTAAGGGTTCAACACTTGTCTACATTTCTTTGAAAGCCTGGTCATTGTAAAATGTGCATTTCTTTAGTTTGATTTTGCTGAAGCAGATGTAATTTAATGTCACATGCAACCATCAAGGGAATTTTATTGGTGTCAGTGGTAACCTTTGTTGAATCTCAGATGCTTTCCATATTGGAGGTGGTTGTCTGACAGTAGAAAAACAGGGAAAAATATCATATTGACTACCACAGTACCTGCACTTCTTCAAAATGATACAAAATGCCCTCCCCCCCATCAATGCAAATATTTCTTCTAATTCGTATTTGTATTTTCAGTTTAGATTTCCAAGAAACAAACATGTTTTGAAATTGATTTGTTCTTAAAAGCTAACTCAGGGTTTTGATGATGTATGTTATAATTCTCTCTCAGGACATACCACTCATCAAACTCAAGGAAATGGTGGCCCACATCCTCCTAAAAGACCAGGTCATGGCACAAAAGGCCACCCTATAGCATTGAGGGCAAACTTCTTTCGCCTCAATATTTCACCAGAGCTGTCAGACCTGTATCATTACGATGTTAAAATAACTCCAGACAAATGTCCCAGAAGTGATAAGAGAGATGTTGTTAACAAAATCATAGAGGAATACAAACATACTACATTTCAAGGCCACCATCCTGCTTTTGATGGTGCAAAGAACTTGTACAGCAGGATCAAGCTGCCTGTTCCTGTAAGTTTTTTTAACAACAGCTCTTCCAATTGTGTTATAATCAATTCCTTTGCTGAAGAGAATTTAGGAGAGGTGACTCTATTGCTACTAGCTAGGATCTCTGGGTTCTAGCTTAATTTTTTCTTAAAAGGTGAAAAATAAATAGTAGATACATTGTAAAATTTATACCTGCAATGTGTGGACTACACCTTGTGTGTGGACAGCACCATTGAAATTCATGAAAGAAGTATAAAGACATGAGTTACATAGCCAACTGTTAACTGATATAACCTCAAACAAAGATCTCCATGCAAAACACAAAATTTTGTTGATATCTATGTGGCACACTTAATCAGCTGTTGTTGGAGTTAAGGAGTTAAAATGTCAATTGTTCTGACAGGCTGAACTTGTTGTTAAATTACCAGGCAAGGATGGAGGTAAAGAGAGGAATTTCAAGGTAAGCATTTTGCTTTGATATATTATATCTCAAGTGCAAGGGTACAAAAAAATGAGAAATATTGTACTGTAATAGTAACATCATGGTGATAGTCATGGTGAATGCAGTCACTCTTTTACAGTGTAGAAATAGATTGATGTACACTATAGTCTGCAGCACTTGTGTAATCATTATTTATGATGATACATGTATATGTAGTACCAGGTTTCTCGATTGAAACCGTAAACCGTAACGTACAGCTGTCACGGTTGTCACTGGTAAGTGCTACATATGGTTGTTAAAGCACTTTGACTAGTGGACCAATTAGTCTATTAAATGCAAATAAAAGAATAACTTCTTGAGGAGGTAATTAATTGTTTGGTATTGACTATTAGGCGGTTTTAATTTTTGAAACGAATAGCATGTCAGCAGACCACTAAATGAATGAACAATTACTATGCTTCTTAATGTCTCCACAATGTTGAAAATATTATTGAATTTGTAAATTCTAGCCCAGGCCTCTCACATATGTCATCTTCCCATGAATTTTAGTGTTATGTGGGAATTAAGTAGCACAGCAATGGCTGCACAAAATTCTATTGAGATCCCTGACTACTATCAGCAGATCTTTAAAATGGTTTGAGACAGTTTTCTTGATGTTCTCACTGAAAGAATCACATTATCCAACACATGTTGTAGGCATTATGTCATTTGGCTGGATATCATTTTAAAAAATTTACTTTAATTTTCTTAAGGTTAAAATTCAGTTTGCTGCTGCAGTGAGTCTTTTGGAACTTAACAAGTTTTTAAGTGGAAAACAAAATGGCAAAATACCTCAGGATGCAGTACAGGCATTGGACATTGTGGTGCGACAGATGCCATCAGTGTATTACACCCCTGTTGGAAGATCATTCTTTCCACTTGATGGTCGAAGAAGCCCCTTGGGTGCAGGATGTGAAGTGAAATTTGGTTTTTATTCAAGTATTCGGCATTCTGAGTGGAAGGCAATGCTGGTGAACATTGATGGTGAGACCTAGTTATTGGTAAAATTTCATACAAACTTTTTGTCTCATGCAACTTATTATATTGTGGCCATATGAAATCAACTCGCATCAGCATTGCATTTGCGTGCAGCTTTGTTGTGTTCCTTCTGCAGCAAAAGTCATTTGTAAAGTTGAGAGGCTACCAGGGGAGAAATTTTTTGGACAATTCAACAATTGTCTTGTTGGAAGAGTACTTCAATTTGTGAAATTATTTTAAACAGCTGGAAATTGCTGTAACAGAGTTGATGTAACCAGTGCTGGGGGATTTAAAATTGTCCTATAACCCACACCTCCCTAACAGATTGCCCACAAGTATTTGGCCAGAAATTAAAGTACATGTTTTCACCATTCCTATAAAAATTTGAGTTATACAACCTTAAAGGTTGTTTACTAAGTAATGTTTAGGTCTTAACAAAATAATAATGATTATTTTCAAGATTAGACAATAATTCTAGAAAGAAAGCACATACTGTTTGATTAAAGCTTGTCTGTACTGATCCTTTAGGAAGTGTTCAACATTTACATATACATATACATTATATAAGCTCAAAGCAAGTTTCTCTTCTCTCAGTCTCTGCGAAAGGATTTGACAAGGAACAAGCTTTTGTTCCTGATTTCTTGTGTGAAACCCTTGGTGTGAGAGCCCATAACATTGAAGATCGCAGTTTTCAACCTGCCAGTTGGAAGCTTGAGAAAGCCATACGTGGTTAGTAGCTTTGTCTTGTGATCTTTGACATTGATAACTGTAGACTTAATTTACACAGGTGTGCTCAGTGGTTTGGCAACAGTCTATCTACCACTGCACTGAATTTTTTATTCTACAGTTATATTTGTACAATAGTGATGATTGACATTGTTACATTTAATGTATATTACAATAATTATCTTACTGTTTTGTCTTATAATTATAATACATCTATATATAAAACATTAGGTGGAAAAATATACAGGATTATTTGTCTGCTAACATTTTCTGTTCCATGATGCAAGATGCAAGATGCACATTTTTTAAGACCAAAGCTCCAGGAAAACTGTGACCTTCAAGCAACAACAAATAATAATTTTGGCCCAAATGGAGGCTATTATGTTTATCATCCTTCAAAAATTTTTCAACTGGAATGAAAAATGGTTATGGACAGCTTACTGTTTTCTGTCATTTAATGGTGGAGTTTTCACTTTAAGTGTTCTCTGGCATGACTTTATGAACAAATAAATATCCACCTTCTGTAACAACCACACAAGGTTCTCTTGTCTTACATTCAATTTAAATGAAGAGTTTCTTGTATTAGACATACCTGTAAGGTTTGGAAATTGGAAAATATCACTTGTGGCGTATCCTTGAACATTCCCCAGTTTCAGTTGGTGCATATTAATTTGGTCATGTGATGCATTTAGACCAATCTTGTGTGAGCAAAAATATTTGATGAATTACAAGTACATTTTTAAGTGTTAATAATAAAAATAACTTTTTTTGCTAAAGTAAGCGTAATTTCTAATTCTCTATACAAACATTTATCAAAGAAGTTTAAACTTAACTCTCATCAATTGCTTAGATGTTAGTGGGTGCTCAATTGATTATAAAACGTTTAAGCAGTATGATAATCTAATGCATTTAGATAGTGGAATTTCAGAGACTAATTATTTTTTAGTGGTTACATGTAGATAAAAGTGGCCTTCAATTGACAAAAATGAGGTTCACAAAAGTTACTTTAAGAGTCTTGAACTGTCTGAACAGATTGATAGATGCGTAGTTAAGACCAGATTTCTGTCCACTGTTCAAATTAAACACTAGATTAATTTTGACTGCAGGAAAAATGTTTTGAAAGAAGCTTAATAGGATGGATATGGTCATGAGCACATACACTTTTTCTTTGATTATCATTCAATAAGCTTTCATATAATGAAGGACTTTGAAAATATAACTATTTTAATTAACTTAATGGAATGTTAGGATTTCCAGGACTGTTTATGATTTGTTATCAAAAGCACTAACTTGTGATTTTTTCTGTGGTTGCAATATGTGTTTAAGGAATACGTATACAAACCACTCATGCTGCCCCCATTAAGAGGAAGTACACAGTTTGGGGTTTCTCTGGAGAATCAGCCGAAAGGATGCAGTTTGATGTTACAGATGAGGGAACAGGTCGCACATACAAAACAACTATTGCAGAGTATTTCAGGGATAGATACGGTTTGACTTTAAGGTATGAACTGTTGATGATATAACTATAGTTGTGGGCAGTCCGTCATCAGTACTGCTGGACCTGCATATCGCGGAGCTTCTCGTGGGTCCGTCGGAGTGGCGCCTTGTCAAGGGGCCTGGGACAAATAATAAATGCCTGCCTCTCAATATTCGTGCCAGACACCCCTCAGACCTCCCGCCGCCTCGCTTCGCTCTCCGACTCAACTCTCGCGGACTTTGTGAGCCGCCCGCGAGACACTCGTGGAGCTGCACTGCAACGATATTGCGGCATAATTTCATTGGTAGAGCTACATTTACATTAATGAGCCCGCCACTTGGTGAGGGCGTCATAATTTTAAGCTTTACCTGCTGAAAGGCGCCCTAATATTAAGCTTTGTTACCTATAGGTATCCTCACCTACCATGCTTAAAAGTTGGACAGAAAAAAGACAGATATCTGCCAATGGAGGTCTGCACTATTCTTCCTAGTCCAAGAAAATATTTATCAGAACAACAGACTGCAAACATGATTAAAAGCACTGCTCGCCCTGCGCCTGAGCGACAGAGTAACATTCAACACTGGGTAAGTTCATTTACGTGTAATTAAATCTTCTTGTAGGTATTCTTGCATTTTGGGTGGTTATAAAAATATTTAGTTTTCGATGTAAAGCCTTTGCAAATGAAAGTTCATTTTGCATGTAGCAAGAGAAAACTTCATATATTGCTGATCTGTTGTGGAGCAAAGCGAAAATAACTGCAATGGTTACTACAAGGAACTTCATTACACAAAGACACCCGATTTATGCGAGCCGAACAGAAAGTGAACCAAAAAACTAATGTATTCAAAATGGCAATGTTCTCGTGTGTGGTTTAAATATTATTAGGCCCAAAGAGTTACTCAAGCAAGTGGCAAATACTTAAGAGATGAGTTCCATACTTCAATCAGCACAGAGATGGTTAAGGTAGAAGGACGTGTACTTCCAGCACCCACAATCAACCTTGGACCACAGGATCGGCCATTGGTTCCTCTTCGTGGTTCATGGGATATGCGCGACAAATCGCTGCATCAGGGAGCCCGGATTAATAAGTGGGCATTGGCTTGTTTTGATGGCAGATGTCATAAAGACCAGCTGGAAAATTTTTCTAAGCACATGGCCGATGTATCCAGTCGGCAGGGTTTGAGGATGTCAGAGCAGCCAGTTGTTGTGGCATACGCCAGGAGCGCCAGAGATGTAAGATGTCTTCACGTTTAACAGATGTTCCGTATGAAAGAAATGACTGTCGTTAAAAATCCTCCTAACAAAGTTCAGAAGGGTACTTTTTGCCAAAAGAATAAGTGGACTGTGCTGTTTACTTATTCGTTGGGTAGTGATTATGTGTCAAAGGAATCGAGTGACCGCAGTAACGATCTAAACTTTGCTTTTTTTTTCTTTCTCTGTCACGTAGGACTGAGATGGCACGTTTGTGCTGTTTTCTTATTTCCAATGCGCCTTATGCGATCAACACGACTCTCGAATAATGCAAAAATGTTATAGCAGTAGGAAATTACTTCCCTTATTCGATGAGAAATGAGCAAAATGTCTGTTGGTGTAATATTTTATTCCTTCGAATAAGATGTACTTTTGTGCAGAAGTTTTGCTTTGTATTCCTGTGTAAGATCATTCGTCCACACCTATGGACCGATCAGAGTTATTTCAACACAGAAAAAGCAGAGATTTTTAATTCAGCTTGGCTTCCATAATCTTTGTTTAATTTTTCCATTCTTTCAGGTAGAGAGCTTGTTTTCTAAGTGGGTAGTAGAAATTCCAGAACTTCAACTGATCATGGCTGTTCTGCCCGAGAGAGACAAACAAATCTATCCAGAGTTAAAACGTGTTGGCGACAATGTTATTGGGATTCCAACGCAGTGTGTACAATCAAAGCATGTACACCGTATCAACCTTCAGGTTTGCGCCAATATCGGGTTGAAGATCAACTCAAAACTTGGAGGAATCAATCATGATATAGATCCGGGAGTAAAGTCGCCTGTTTTCCGAGAACCTGTTATTATCTTTGGCGCCGATGTCACCCACCCCTCTCCAACTGAAAATGGAATTCCTTCCATTGCTGCTGTTGTGGCAAGTATGGATATCAATGCCACAAAGTACTGTGCTCGGGTGCGAGCACAGAACCATGAGAATGGAAAAGCTGCTCAAGAAATAATTAATGACTTGGCGGCGATGGTGAAAGAGCTTCTTATTGAGTTTTACAAGGCCAGTGGGAAGCTTAAGCCTACAAAGATCATCTTCTACCGGGATGGAGTCAGCGAGGGTCAATTTGACCAAGTACTTGTTCATGAAGTGCGGGCTGTGCAACAGGCCTGCATGGATCTTGAAAAAGATTATCGCCCTAGAATCACTTTTGTGGTGGTTCAGAAGCGCCATCATACGAGATTGTTCTGTGAAAACCAACGAGATGAAGTTGGAAAAGCAGGAAATGTTCCTCCTGGTACAATAGTGGACAGCGGTATCACGCATCCTTACGAGTTCGACTTTTATCTCTGCAGTCATTATGGAATCCAGGTACTTCAATTTTTGAATAAACATCACGGGTTCTCAGGTAACTTTACTTTTTGTTTCATAATTTCTGCTATTCCGGTTGAATTAAAGAAAAATTTTCTTTTTTATCCAGGGAACAAGCCGACCCACACACTATCACGTGTTATATGATGATAACTCATTCACAGCAGACGGCCTTCAGCAGCTTACATACCAACTGTGTCACGTGTACGCACGGTGCACACGTAGTGTTTCCATGCCAGCCCCTACCTATTATGCACACTTGGTGGCTTTCAGAGCCAGATACCACGTGACTGGAAAGGAAGGAAGGTAAGACATACTATATTTAGATTGGAGCTTAAATTGTGTAGAGGTTTTATAGAAGGAAAATCAAGAATCAACTGTTTTCTGGAAAGGGAGAAAATTATTTTTGAGCTTTTAAATGTGTTGTTCGCTTAGATGATTAGACAGTTTGCCCAAATCATATTCTGAAATATTAAAAGAAAATAGTTGTGCACGAATAACAAAACATAAATGAATGAAAACAGGACATTTCTCATCGTTATGATGCAAGATTTTCATTTCCTAGCCAGTTTGTTCCGTTAGGTTTATTAAAATTAGAATCTTCATGTTTCAGTGTGGACCTGGAGAAGTCCGCAAAAGCCATCGAGGTTAATGCTAAGATGAAAGGAGCCATGTACTTTACTTAAAGAAGCACCAAGAATATGCCGTGTATTGAAACAGTGTAACTGATCTTCCATGTTCAGAATGGTGCCGGAGGGGGAAAAGCTCTTTTGTCTTGCGATAATTTTTTTCAAAAAACTTTAATTAACAATTGGTTCATGCTTTACCGTGCACTATCGAGTTATGGAACACATGGGAACTTTGGAGAGCACGAGAGAAGCGTAAGAGTTGCCCAAGGCAATAGCCAAGGGCACTCTAGCTTTTTGGGTGCTCTCCAAACTTCTCACGTGCACCATGTCTCGACAGTACACAGCTAAAAGCATGAACCAATTGTTTTATAACATAACCGCTGGAATTGTGCATCAAATCCAACGCGAAAAACGGACAACAATACCAGAAGTGATTGTACGCGGTAAGCGAAATATTAAGCAAAATAGGAATTGGTTTAATTTTCTGTTGAAAGTTTGAGTTTAAGAACTCTAGCCCAAGGGAAAAGTTCGGAAAATTGTCTTCGTTTTGAGACTGGTAGGCCGGGTCTCTGTTTGTATCCATTACTGTCGCGATGTATATTATTTTTCCCCCTGCTAACAGTTGCCGCTCGTGCGAAGAAAAAAATTCTGGCAAAGCGATTTGCTCACGCTATCAGCGTGCAATATCGGGATTTTGAGCACGCTTACGTATACTGAATTTGATTGCGCGGCTCTGCTAGCTATGTTATAAAGACAAGTAATTGAAATTATCTTTGTGGTAATTTTTGTTAGAATTGATTGCTGGGATATTTATTATCGACATTATTATTTATACTTGACGAAAATAATAGAAAATTGTAATACTTTTTTAATAGATATATTTAAAATATTAACTATGCGCTGGGTACAGAAAACGAGTACCCAAGTTATTAAATGCACGAATCACGAGTAAATTAAAGACAGTCCATTTGCTATGAATTTTGTAACAATATATCATGATTTTCGATGCTGTAGTTTGTCTAAAGGAGGTCGATAGTGAAAGCTTTTTTGGAATCGGAACCAATAAGTTGTTCAAGCACATTTTTAAAAGCACACGTGATTTTGTTTGGCATTATCTCGAAAAATATTTGATATTGAACACAAGGGCCGTTTCTGTGATGGACTGTAATAACGCCCGTTTTGATGGCCAAATCTGTAAACAGCATGTGAAATCTGCTTTTTCTCCTTTAAGTTGTTTCTCCTTAACAGTTTTACGTAAATTTAAATTATTAAGCTGTGGTGACAGGCATTCTGATGCAATGTATGGTTAGACGTATCATTAAAAATTCCAGTTTTAGAATTGTAATGTTTTGATGTTTATGGTTTCCGTTGATTCTCGAACAGTGTAATCCCGATGTCTTCAGACGCAAGCAAAGCGAATAATGATGAAGAGGTAACGAGGATTTTATGTGGGGGGGGTGCTAACGAGGCCAAAGTGGACCAAACTACCAAAATGTATTTTTTATTGTCAGATCCGTTATTTAGGAAAGTAGCGATACATGACAAATCGTAACTGCAAAGTACACGGTAGGAACTGAATATGACATTTGTCGAATACAACTGTTTGAATTAAGTTACAAAGGACTAATTTTACGATGTAAAATGATACATCAAAATACTGCGGAACTAATCCCTCAGAATACTCCCGAGCTCCAGCTTCCGTGGGTGTTTGGTGGCAAACAGATTTACCACCTCATCCAAAGCAATTTTAACTTGATAATGTATGTGCATTAGTGCGAGGGACGACAGCCTTTCCTGGCCTATGCATGCCCTGTTATCAATCAATCAATCAAAGTTTATTGTTTAACGTGAGGCATGGTTGCCCAATTGCCCGAGCCAGAGGCTCATTTATAAAACGGTAGACTATAAATTAACTATAATTTGAATAATAAACTATAATAATTAGATTAAATTAAAGTAAACTATTATAATTAAACTATTGTAATTAAACTATAATAATTAACTATAATTTAATATTAGAAGTACTTATAAGTAAAAAGAAATAAAAAAATAAAAAATTCCAGCACGTAACTAACTCAATTAACAGAAGCAAAAAGGAGAGGACTTGAGCTGAAGGCAAAGCCCAAACACAAGCGACATTGTTAACTGAATCAGAAAAAAAAAAACTCTATGGGTAAAAATATATAAGTTTAGAGTATGAATAATAATTGTAAATTTGTAGGTGACTAATATTGATAGTTAAAAGAGTCTAAACATTATGTTCAGTGAAAGATATTGCAGTAGATGAATATGAATAAAAATGACAATGTATGCGTATGTTATAGGTATGGAGCCGCCTTAAAGAACTCGCGCTTCTTTCACATTCACAGCTCGTTGCAGGGATTGTGGTGCATATCTTGAGAAGCGCATATATATTTGGAAAGAGATCTTCATCGCACTCCTTAGGGGCTTTGGCTGCTGTATTGGCCTGTCTTCCTTCGGTTTTGAGGAGTATCAGAAAGAAATAAGAAACAAAATGTACTGTTGAATAAAGGCTGATAGTTTCTAAAGAAACTGTTTGGGGCTGCGTCGGTGGGGGTAACGAAATAATTTGGATATATAAACAAAGTTGAAATGGTAAATTGGCCACCGTAACGATTACAAAAGCTGACGTTTCGAGCGTTAGCCCTTCGTCGGAGCGAATAGAGGATTTGTGGGTTGTGTGTGCTTTTAAAGGCAGAAAATGGAGCTACGTTATTGGTGGGAACATGGCAACGAGAAAAACACGAATAGATTAGTGGAATGAAAAGCGTTCGTTGATCCCTGTGGGATTTAGACTGCCGGTTTGAAAGAGGAGCTTTTGTTCAAGAGCTTTACGGCTTTCCGTGCTACCCAAGTGTAAGGAAAGACCGTAGATTGCCCTATGTTGCTTAGAATGATTAGGTAAATTAAAATGTCTAGCGACTGGTTTCGATGTGTCCTTGTCATTCCTTTCCACGTCGCGAAGGTGTTCTCGGAATCGGTCACCTAGCATTTCTGCCTGTTTCGCCGATTTATATCTTTTTGCAATGAGTGCAAGTTATGCAATAGATTACATTGGCGGAGGTGCACGTGAAGTGTTCGGTGATCTTAATGGATCGTTTGGGTCCTGATATTTTATCAATGTCGTGAATAAAAGGACACGTTTTGCATCGGTGACCACGTTAAAACTGGCGCATTGACTCTGATTTGTGGTGGAAATCAAAGTCATCACTACATAAACGACGAAGTCTTAGAAACTGAGAAAAACGGAATTCTTAACGTGGGATGGATGCGAAGACGAATATAACAAGTAATTATGCGAGTCTGTAGGTTTGTAATACACACTAGTACATAAAACCGTTGCTTTCAATTGAAATTTTGATGTCTAGAAAGGATAAAGAATTGTCAGAAATTTCCCAGGTATCGAAATTTCCCAGGTATTCCCTTTGCTCGTGCACGATCATCAAAACAACAACAACGGATTCACACTTCCTGAATGCAAAGATTATGTAAAATTTTTGGGTATACTAATTGACAAGAACTTAACCTGGAGGCCTCATATTGATCATATTGCTTCGAAGATTAGCAAAATAGTCGGTATAATCGCTGGGCTTAGACATCTTGTACCTTCAAATACCCTTCTTCAAATTTACCGTTCGCTGATTTTTCCCTACACGCTCTACGTATAGCTGCTTGGGGCCAGGCAGCTCAGAGTGATTTAAAAAAGATTCTCACCTTACAAAAGCGTGCACTCTGATTGATTTTCTTCTCCAGCAAAATATCTCATGCTATTCCTCTTTTTATAACTTGGAGTATCCTACCCATTAATATGATCTATTTTGAAACTATTTCTGCCATAATGCATGACGTTTCTACTAGCTCTACACCTAGGAATATTCGCGAACTTTTATTAATTCATCTGACGTCCATACATATAACACGCGTTTTTCTTCCACAGAGAATTTTTATGAGAATTTTAAAATCTAGATTGCATGTGAAATTTAAGTCTTTCTCTGCGTTTGGTACGAGGTTATGGAACTGTCTAAACCCTGACTTGCGTAAGCTCAGGAAAAGAGCATTTAAAAGGAAAATTCATAAGTTGCTTTTGACTATACTTGGGTTAAGGGCTATTATGTTGACGCCCGTTCATTAATATTGAAATTCAATACCAATGATTATTGAAAATTATAACTGTAGTACTTCGCTCATATCCGTATATCACAATTCTCTCCTCTCTAATTTCCAGTCTGCTCTGCCTCTATTTGATTATTATGTCTTGTTTTAACTCACACATTTCAACCAATCTGTTTGACGAGATAGTCCGTAACCCCACCCATAGACTCCACAGCCTCCTCCCCCAAAGGAAGAGTTGTAGATACGCACTGAGGCGCAAAAGTGATTTCACTCTCCCCATATGCAAAACCGAGCGCTTGAAGAACAGTTTTATTTCTAGCCATATTTATAAGATTTAGATAATTTTCCTTCTTTCTTAATGACGAAGTTGTAATATTTTAGACTCCTTTTTTTATCATCTGTATTTGTAAGTATTCCGTAATTCAGCCTATGGCTGCAAGGTGTTTATAATTAAGTATCTCCATAGGGTCGTAGTAGTAGCAAGTAGGATAAATATTGTAAGAAATATACAACTTTTTTTAGAGACATGTTTCGGCATGCTTATGCCATTTTCAATCAATGAGTAACTGAACGTGAGTAATTATATAACAGACAAGTAGATGAATAAAATATTTACAGTATGATGTAATACAAAAGCGGGTACTAATTACAGCGTGACAACAAGCATGAAATTAAAGATGTGAACTAAAATGCTAATTGTTTGTTAAGTTCAAGTTTGATCTTATTTGTATAAAAAGCTTCTTTAATTTTTAAATCAATTGAGTTGTTGGCAGAATCCAGAATGCTAAAGCAAGAAAGGGAGTATTTATTCTCATAAGAAGGAGATGTGTTAAAATGCTTAAAAATATCGCTTTCCGTGTGCTCTTTTATCCTAGCAGAGAAGTGGCGACTAGTTTCGCCAATATAACGGGAATTACATCCCGTACAAGAAAATTGATAAACTACCATGGATTTTAGAGCATCACGAGTACGATCTTTAACACTGAACATGTTTTTAATTTTGAAAGAAGTGAAAGCTAGTTTGATACTTAGGTCCGATTTACAAAAGCGCTTAGTGAGTTGTCGGAGTTTAAGGTTCGCTATTTTAGAATAATAGCCGACAAAAGGGAGTTTAAAGTAACGTGTATTATTGTCATCAATGTTCCGGCTATTTTGAGAGGAAGACCTGTCAAGATACCGCTTGAAAGTTCTTTCAATAATATGCGAAGGAAGAGAATTGCGTTTTAAAGTGTCGGAAAGTTTCTTAAGATCGTTTTGAAGACCGGAAGAGGTGTTTTTGATTTTTTAGATACGGTCCATAAGAGTTTAGTCTCCTTCGC